TTAGTGAATTGCCCCTTCCCTTCCAACTGACATTGTCAAAGTATTTTAACGACAAAAGTAACAGAATGGAACGGTCACAAACGAGAGGGATGTCATTCAGACCATCTAGTTTATGCGGTTTCTCAGAAGGTAAAGGATCTGAGAGCCTTATTTAGCTGTTCAGCAACAGGGCTGGGCATTTTGGTTCGGATTCCCATATACACTTTGTGTCAAGAAGTGCTTTCTAATGTTCACTTTTGTTAATGCAATTCCCACTGATGTCATCATCTGGTTCATCCATCAAAGTTGAATCTGAAGAATCCACAGGCTGACATTGTTAAAATATTTGATACAATGTGGATATAAAGCGAGATCAGGTGTAGTTTGCAGGTTTTAATCAAAAGGTGCTGATCAAACGGTGCCTCTAAACACTCCTGCCTGGAACCTGGCACCAGAGTGTGAGAGTTGCCTACCCCTAGTATAGTCAGGATAGAAAGACTGATAAAAATAATTGCGGTAGTTATGGTGATTTGTAACTGGGAAGAGAAAAAATGAGGAAAAACAATTTTTACACATTTAAATTGCATTGTCCCCAAGATAAAACTACTATTCCGCGTATCAACTATGTCACTTTTAAGTTTATGTGGACAAATATCTATGCAGCCATTATTTACACACGTTTTGAAAATTTGAATCCAGTTTTGCATGGAAGATGCCTACAGAAGTAGTTTTGTGCTAGTTCAAACAAGGAAGCAAAAAAGCAAAGAAACGCAGCTCTCTTGGCTGACAGTCCTATCTGCTAGCATAACAGACTTTGCTTTGGAAATTAGAAGTGAAACTCAGCTCACCAGCAGGCATGTTTGTTAATTCCAGCTACAGCAGAACAGCACAGGGATTGAGATCTGATCCCCACCAGACAGGTGTTTTTTTTATTTTACTCCATCAATTTAAAAAAGGAATTAAAACAAACTGCTTTGAAACAGCTACATCTGGCACAACCCTAGAAAATAAAAATAAAAATATTAAACTTATAAATCTTATTTATAACCCAGGTTTGATTGTTTTCTGAGACCATATCTTGAATATATTGTCCTTGCACTGTATTTTGCACTAGTTACCTTTAATTTATTGCTGTCTTCACCTGTATGGTGAAGCATGTAAGAGAGAGTTACAATGTGTTTTTTACACTGGGTAAATAAACTCAGTAACTCTCAGGAAAATAGTTGCTTAACACAGCTGCGTTTTTAGTATAGAACCCCTAATGTCACGATCGTTACTCCTCCTCTTAAGGGCGCTCCAGCCCTTCCTCGTTCCGTCCCATTCCCCACACCAATATTTTATAGAGTTGGGTAAAAGAGACACAAACAGTCAAGATACAATAGCTGCAGGTCTGCTTTCGCTTCGAATGGTTCTCAAAATGCAGCCCTCTAGCACATCTGTCCTTAAACAGCACTGGGACCCTGGGTTCAATTTTGGAAACGGGGGTGCTGACTATGTG